ATTAACGCATATGATACACATTTGACATATCATATGTTTTAAGTTGTCCTGTCAACATTAAAAATAAAAAATGTCTTCCTCCCGGACAATCGCGGACAATTTCAGTCGGGATATTCTCAGGTTTCACGTAGCATTCCGTTACGAATGCCTGCATTTTATCACAGATCCTCAAACATTGTCGTCAAAGGTTGGCAACGATCATGTGTGAGCGCCGCATTGGAAGAAGCACAACGAAAAGTGGATTGTGGCAGTTTTGAGATATATTTGTGTGTTTGAAATATATTTGTGTGTTGCACTTGTGGGCCACCATAGTTTTATACCATTTATGAACCAAAAATGGGAATGGGAATGCTAATAAAAGATTATTGATTTATTGCTATTGTATATTAGGCAAATGAGAACCATACAATAAATGTTTTAGTTTTATTACATATAATTTTGAAACCATTTTTGAGGCCACCTAATCGCTTTTTGATTAAGTTTTGATAAAAAAATACTCATTATAAATACGTTAATTGTTAATAGTTCTATTAAACAAACCAAAAGGAACGAACACGGAAAATTTCTTGCCCGAATTTAAAGCTGTGCGAATATATATGAACAAGGTGCGCGAAATTAAATCGCGCATGATACGACGAAATTATTGTTTTAATGGCACCTTCAATTAAGGCTACCCCTATTGCAGAACAACTGAACAATATGCTGATGAGGAGACAAAATCTATTTGTTGACATTTTTGTCAGCTTCAGATGACCATTCATTTGTAATGATTAAGATTGCATGTAGAAAGAAATTCTGAGCAGGTGAATACATGTGGCCGGTACTCTCTCCTCCGCAGAGGCTTTAGTTTTCTTAGGATTTAATATTACGATGAGATACATTTCACTACACTTTACATGGCGGATCGTGGAACATGAGCGTAGCCGCTGGGCGAAGGAGCGCAGGCGGCAAAGGGAAAGGCGAAGGAAGGCGCGAAGCCTCTGCACGATTTGCATCGCACAGTGGGACAAAGTGGGACAAAGTGTAAACATCGAAACAACAGGTGATTTTTAAGCTAAACAAGAAACGTCTTTTTGAAAATTAAACATTATTTAATGCATGATTGATTGACCTCATTGACTAGTGCTTGCATGTTTGTGGATGGTCAAAAGTAATATTTTTTAACATTTAATACACAAAAACAATCGTATATTTTACTCGCCGCTTGGCGAAACATTCTGTATTTCGTATCGAGAAAAACTTGAATATTTCTTGAACTCTTCGGAATTCGCCACCAGTCAAAGAAGTAAAATACTCCTTGTAATCAAGCGCTTTCGTGTAGAAAATTTCTTTTGAATACGGCCAGTAGAAATATTTATTTTTAATTTTTCAAAATATCGGGGTTTTTTACTCGCACAGTCGCACGCGCCTGTCACACGCTGATGTTCGGGAATTAGTTCACAATCAGACCAGGAATGGAAATACCATAATAAAAGATGAAGTTTTCAAGATACAAGCTTAAAAATAACACTCTAAGTAGTGTTTGGAATTCGCTTTCGAACAAGAGTAATACAAAGAGGATGCGTCCTAAGGATCCGAAGTTATGTTCGCCGAAAGGTATGCCTAGTTTATATTTTTATCAAGTGTAAACATTGCATGATTTGATATTAATATACAAAATCCCGCTTGACTTTCAAAGGTCATAAATCGCTATAGTGTTGACATTTCACTAAAACTATTGATAGAAACTAGGAGATATTTTTGTACTAAATCGAACGGTGGTACTTTCATCTACATAGCGTATATTGAACCAAAGATACGAACCTCCAAATAAATCGCGTTTGTTTATAAATATTGCTGAAGTTGAAATAGTTGAATTGTATTTTCAGTCTTGATAATAAATTTAATAATGGTTCTGTATGCTATTCATACTCATTTTTTTCTTTTATGCGGTTTTGGACACATTTCTGAAAATACAAATGTCAAATATAAATTTAAATAAAAGTTTCTTCGCTTGCAACCAAAACCTGTTCCCTAAATACGTTGTTTCCGTGCATTGTTTATACTGTAGATGGAGACCTTGTCTAGAAAAAATGCAGATGTTTTCTCGCAAACTGAACATAACACTTTCTTATTTCGTAGATCTAGTATAAATAATCTCTTTGTCAGCTTGTTGCAGTATTGTAAAGAGATATTTTCTCAGTCATTTTGACTTGAATTTTGCGTTTGATAATTATATGCCCCCCCCCGGTTTACCGCCATATTGGGTGTGGCATCGTGCAGAGGCTTCGCGCCTTCATAGCCAATTAAAGCCTCTGCGGAGGAGAGAGTGGCCGGTATATTACATATATCTGATATGGACATATCTTAGAGATATATTTTTTACTAAAGTACATTTTGACACCTTGTATAAATATAAAGACGATCAGTGGGCTATTAGAAATGCAAATTCATGAAATCATATTGGTTTCAATACTTATATAGAACACTAAACAGCAAATCTAAATATAAAGGCCTTCGTGTACGTATATCACCAGAAAAAACTATCCTTACCGGAATTATTCAAAATATTGTTGATCGTTTGCATCGTGATAACTCAACATACTGCATGTAAATAACCTCGCATTAAACTGAAATCCTGAGAAGAATCATGCGAGCGCAATACAAAATAAATAAAATCGAATAAAAACAAAGAATCGTCGAATATTCATGAAATCATGTTGGTTTCAATACCTCTATATCGAACACTAAACAGCAAATCTAAATATAAATGCCTTCATGTATATCACCAGAAAGAAATAAAGCTATCCTTACCATGAATTATTCAAAATCAAGTATTGTCGATCCTTTGTATCGTGAAAATCCAACATATTGCATGTAAATAAGCTTGTATTAAACTGTATTAAATCCTGAGAGGAATCATGCGAGCGCAATACTAAATAAATAAAATCGAATCAAAATCGAATAAAAACAAAGAGTCGTCGAATGCTCGAGCTGACGACAATTTCCGAAAAATCTTTACATCCGACGGACTGACATGGATCATAGTTAATATAGAAGACCAGGTTTGGAAGGCTGGGTCACGTGACGAAATATGTTGGATTTTTGGTCACGTGGAACATATAGGGCATTGCGTGCAAGATCGTAAACAATGGCCATAGTAATCCCCGAGCCGGCGGCGCGAAGCGCCGTGCGAGGGTACTAATTCCCCCCGGCTATTTACACCCGGGGAAACGAAAGCATTAGCCAAGTCTAAAGTTCATCAAATATCGCGGGCGTGACCAACGAACCTTGAGTGGGTGGTCATCCTCACTGATCTCAAAAATATGGCGGACTGTCATGGATAGCGAACACTGATTGGTCAAATTTAAAATTTGTTGTTGTATGAGAAATGACGACTTCAACTGACAGATACTTCATGAAAATAATTTGCTTTTTTATACAATACAGTATTTTGTACGTTTACAAAAAACTTTGACAGCTTTCAAAGCAATTTGTTCTATAAGAAGTTTAATAAAACAATTACGGTATCAAATACCATTTGAAAAGATATGGAACCAAATGAAGAGCGGCAAGGAAACGACAAGAAAGCCGAACGTCTAGCAAAAAGGAGGGAGCGAAGACAACAACGTTTGCTCGAGGAGACTGCTGAGGAAAGAGAAGCTCGCCTGGGAAAGCGTAGAGAAGCATGGAAAAAAAAGACTGCTGAAGCGAAAGGTAAGCAAAGGCTTGTCTTCACAACGCTATGTACCAATGATACTGTAGCTATACAAGTTGAAGATGATATTCGACCCTCTATATTCGACTATTTCTTCACAATTTTCCAATAAAGAGTTTGTCATGACACGCTCAAGTCAGTATAACCAGAACTGTATTTTATTTATATCAGTTATCACAGCCACAGGTAATTTTATGCTGTCAAATACCGTCGGTTGCGACTAAGGGTGAACAGTTGCAGATAAAACATTCTCTATTCTCATTAAAAAGCCTGTAAAAGTTTCCTGTAAGTCTCTAGCCCAACACGTTCAGACCACACAAAGTTTTGTTACTTATTATTGTACACATGGGAAACAACAATTAAGTGTTGTTGTTCTTGACAAACATTGAAGATTCTAATCACGCGAATGTTTTTATGAGCAACTGTTCATCGTTAGTTGCAAGCGACGGTACAAACATTTTTCCGACTGTGACCGAATGTGCAACGATATATTTTTCAAAGTTGTTAACAATTCCTAAAATTTGTTTATAGTAAAACAGCCTGCTCAGCACTCACTACTCACGATGATTTCATTTAGAAATGCAGTTACCAGGAAAGGAACTGATTCTAAAATATGTAAATTTAAAAGCATTGGCTATTACGATGTGAAGACAAGGTACAAACTTTTATAGTTGCTATTTGTTATAAATCCTATAAATAAACCGATTCAACAATAATTTTGCCTCGAATTTGCATATTCTATGCTGCATGTTTATATTTTATTTTCATAGTATAAAAATAAAATTGTAATACTATGAAATAAAATACATTTCTGTTTATTGACCAGTACTTATTTAATGTCTTCTTCATCCAGCGGTCAGAGTAAATTTCTACTTCTAGCAAGTAAATATTTGACAAGCAGTCTGGAATAAGCACAGGACTTTTAATGCATCAGCCAAATCCAAGTGTGCCATCCCCCTCGCCCAGCCATTTTCCTGTAAAGCACATCCCGGGGGTTGGGCATTTC